CTGCTTCAAGATTCTGCTCCCAAATCACTCACATTCTCACTCCTCCCTTCATCTTATCATGTATCATTTTTTGCAACCCTAAACTTGATGATGTTTCAGTTGATAAATCTGAAATCTAATCTGGGTAGTAGTGATAGTAGTTTCATTATGTATTGGTATATGTATTGTGAATTTTAATCAATGAAAATGGTGACTTTTTTTAATTGCTTGTTGATATTACTCTAATTTTAATGTTATTTATCTCCAATCTTATGTTATCTTATTGGATGATCATGAATATCAAGGAACAATGAAGATAATTTGGGTGGACTTTATTACTAGAATGAAAAGATACAAATGATATATCTTGTAATTAAAATAAATAAGTAATCTAAAACGATATTAATAATGTCGTTGGCCTAGATCTAGGTGATATAAACCTTTGTATAAACCTAAACCGTTTGATTAGATCTACATTTATTAACATTAATTATTTAATTGTATTTACTATTTAGCCATTTAGGTTGTAAATAATTCAATTTGAATTAAGCAGTTTGTAATTGGATAAGTTTAAACAGGTTGCGATTCGAAAACAGTTCGATTTTAACGGTTTAACGGGTTATGGCAGTTCTGTTTAGACGGTTAGCGGATTATAACGGTTCGGTTTATACGTGCGGTTTAAACGGTTTCGGTTCATAAACGGGTCGGTTTAAACGGTTAGCGGGTTACAAATGGTTCGGTTTAAACGGTTTTTTTTTTCGGTTTAAACGGTTTCGGTTTATAAACGGTTCGGGTCATTAACGGGTTTATAAACCATTCGGTTCGGTTTCGTTTCGGTTCGGATTTGCGCAGTTTGGTTTGTTATCGATTTACGGTCCGTAACGGGTTGACATTGAGCGGTTCAATTCGGTTTCGGTTTGATATTGAATGGTTCAGTTCGGTTTACATTTATCGGTTTATAAACGGATCGGTCCGTGATGGTTCGGTTCGATTCGATAACGGGCGGTTTCACGGTTCGGTTTGAAAAGTCCCACCCCTATATAAGACCAATCCTTTGCTCCTATATCTTTCGTGACCACCTACGACAAGCTTTCTATGCTTGTACGTATAGACAAAATATTTGTACGTACAATTGTACTTTTGTATGTCATCTTCTACCCATGCATTATATTTCATGGGGAGAGACCGAGAGTAGGGAAGGTATTCTTATAAAATAAAAATTTTAACTATGTACTTTTGTCATTTTTAAATTTACTTGTCTCATTTTTTAAGATCAGATGTACTTATTTACCAATCTCGATTCTTTTAAGGAAATAATTTTTACAGTTGAGTTGGGTCTCATACTCATCCATTCAATTTTTTTCCTTTACTTTTTCACTTACATAAAATTACTCGTAAATATAGTAGTTACGGCACAAGTAAGTTCATTAAGTTGCGACGGACATGGGAGTATCTAGAATGCTTGTGTAATCAGAAACTTGTTTATAAAGCGTCATAAATTCAACAAATGACAACCCAAACACAAGAAGAGCTTTGCAAATTTGGGCATGTGAAGTGTGAAAGTTAACTGTTCCGCCGAAAAATGTCATATTTTCGCTTGCTTTAAAGGTAAAAAGTAAGGATTTTCCCTTAAAATCCTCACTTCTGTAGTTCTGTTACAAAATCTCCTTTAAATTCCAAAAGAAAAATTACCACTCAATTTTTCTTTTGACCCTAACAAATTTTACACGTGACAAGGGTGTGTTTAGACTCAACAGCTAGATAAGTACGGCATGTAATTATTAAGGTTTAGGAATTAGGACTACAGTGTAGCTGGCAGAATTATGGGAACACATTTTTATTCAATGTGAATTTGGTGAACTTTGTCTTTGTAGTCTAGAGTCTTAAACCTCAAGATACATATAAATGTGATACTGCTAATTAAATTGAATTATCGCTTTCTAAATTTAGATGCAGTCGTAATCTTGGAAGACTTATGTTTGATGGATTATTTCACATCTTTTCAAAAGTGTGTCTGGACACTTGAGGTGGTTTTAATTTGGCCGATTCTAGTCCGTCTTTGAGTTTGAGGTGTACTCGTATTATTTTGTATCGAAAATCCTTTACTACTTGTGCTTGTCGTACGACTTAGATATTTTTATGTCCCCTTAAAAAAAAAAAGAAAAAAAAAGAAGATGTTTTTATGTACTATTAAAAGGTTTTATAATATCATCATACGACTATTAAGCACTGTATAGTGGTAATTCTAATAATAGGAGACACATTAAGAGTGCCTCCTCTAAAAGGAAATTAAAAGCTTAATAGAGGAGTTATTTAAGCTTAGCTCATTTTCTTATTGAGTTGAACGTGAATTTTTGTTCATGCTTGCCTCATGTACTTTGCAACTTTGCAAGCTTAAGATTTTGTTCAAGCTTGTTTATTAGGTTCACATTCAATTTTAGACCGAATTAATTCGTAAACAAATTACATCATTTGCACCCCTACATATTACGGAATATAAACTTATATTAATGCTACGGTTGCTACCTCAGCGGGCTGCGGTCATTTGCTATTTTGCTGCATGTAGATTTGTTTGACTTTCCTGAATTATACAAGTGGAACAAAAGAACAACATTGCGTGACAGTTTAATTTGTCTCAAGTAAATTAGACAGTTAGGCTAGACATGAAAATGGTTTAATTTGAGCATAAGTCTATGATAAAGTACAATATATTAAACAATTCACCAACTAAATTAAATGAAATTTGCTAATGCCTGTTTCTCTAATATTTGACCAATTGCAACTTGCATCTCATGCTTGCATGCCGACATTCTTTGTTTCCATCTCGAAATGGTATTGTAAAATTATACTGTAATTGGTTATTTTAATAAATAATTTAATTTTAAGGAAATAGTAATAGGAGATTTATATTTGGTACGATAAGTACAAATTCGAGTAACATATGGTAAAACGAAATTGAACACGTTTGAAGTTTCGGGCTTGTCCGATACATGAATATTTCCTGAATCATACTCTAAAATAGAAAATTGATCCAATATCAATATCATATTGCAGAAAGTAATGTTAGTTACTGATGCTTTTCAATTTGGCTATTCCATTGGCTTGGCCCAAACACAATATGACCACACCAAAGAGCTAGGTCCTCAAATTAAACGTTGGTCTTGTAGGACTTTGAAATCCAAATTTTTATTTTTTTTTTGGCCCAAGCTTGGGCTTGATCCTAAGCGTTGTCCTGCAATGGGCCAACTTTGTTTTGCCAAGGTCCAACCTGCCCGGCCCATAACACCTACATGCTTAACTTGTTTATTCAAATGATAAAATTGACCTAAACAAATTCAAATCTTCAATAAAACAATTGTTAGAATGATGTCTACTACAAGAGGGGGGAGGGGGGTGAATTGTAGTTTATAAAAATTTATGAACTTTATGCGGAAATTAAGCTAAGTATAAAAGGAGAGAACACACGAGATGGCTTTTCGAATTATTTCACTATGCAAAAACTCATTTACAACTGTGAATATTCATCCTACACTTAAGTTCCTCTAGGAACTCAAGCGGTCCCTCAACCGTAGCTTTCCACTCTCTGTGATTCGACTCTGAATCACTTATACTTTGTGATAGACTCACTCAAGCCTCACAATTACAACTCTCACAAACCCCTAAAATTGACAAGACTAAAATCAACAAACTAATATCTCCACTAGTCTATACAGAACTTCCAGCCGAATATGCGACTAGCACCACTAAGCACTAACCAGTCCACACTGTAATCTAATTATAAATTTATAATCCTCCTTACACTAATAGTCTAATTGTTGTCTTATACAATGTCCGGCATCACGTCCCAATTACAAATGTAATTACAGACTTTCCTAATGCACTTAGAAGGATTAAAGGATTAAAGCAGGAAGAAACTCAGCTCTAACACTTAAAAACTTAACGCTCAGAAAACTGAATTGTTTTTCCTCACTTAAATCAGATTCGTTGATAGCTTTTTATAGAGAGAAGGAAAGTCTCAATCTTTCTTCCCACTCCTCTCATTACCCACGTTCAACCTTAACTTTGGAAGTTAAGAACGTTGGATAGGAAGTGGGAAGTGGATCTCCCTGACTTTCCTCTCAATGCATCAACGTTGTTTCCTTGAAAATAGGCAGCCGAATTTACTGGGTCAAAAATCAGTTAGAAGGATAATTATTAAAAATATTTATTTTGAAAAAGATAAAACATTTAAATAATTATTTAATTTAAAAATAATAAACTTATCTTTTAAATTAAAGAATTATTTATCTTATATTTATTTGCAATATATATCTTTTCAAAATTGATTTTATTCTATCTTTATTTCAAGGACTTTAAAACTGATTTAAACTTACGTTAAAACTTTTTCTGATTAAGACATTAAGTTCCTTAAGAAACATAAGGTTCCTTACTGAGTTCCTCTGCACATTAATACTCTAGTGCTTACAGAGAATCTAAAACTGGACTTTGATCTTTTTCTTGAAAGCTTGCATATTCATCATCAAGACTTCCAATCCCTTTGCTCCTACTCCGGAACATGTTGTTTGTACCTGAATCCTTTTGTTCTACCAAGACTTAACACACAACATTAGTCGAATTTTGTTTTGTTATGTCAATCATCAAAATACTAAGAGGGTCAACAACAATCAAACATAAAATTGTTCGAAAAACTAAATGAAGAATTGGTGGACATATCAATTCTGTTCAGGTGAAAATTTGGTAGACAAGATAGACATTATAAAATGGATGTACTGGTACTAGTCTACTATTGCTGTAAGAAAAGTTGGAAACTACTTTTAATTAGTCAACACTGTCATTTCTCCGATTAATTAGTTTGTCAATATTCTTAATTATCAAAGTAGTTAGTGATGCTTCTGCTGTTGAAAGTGACCATTTTCCAAAACAGGTTCTACATTATTATAAGCCAATTGTTCACTCTTCTTGTATAGAGTTTAATGCATGAAAATCAGAAATGAGGTTAGTCGAAACTCGAAAGAGGTGAAGACAACTATATAGAAGAAGGTACTGTCATTAATCATATGAAACAAGGTACTGTCTTTAACAATTTGTGTTTTGTAAGTTAAATACTGCATTTTGAGGCATTATCTAGGACAGAGTTCTGTGATATTCTCAGATCCCGTATATACATCAACGGTATGACCATGAATGATTTGCTGGTCTTCATCAGTTTCAACATTAGCTGTGAGGAAGTGGGGAGTGCAAGGCAAAGGTAGAGTAACAGACTGCCCGTTCAATGCAGCAACAACCGAGGTCATTCGAGGCCTTTTAGTTGCATCTTCTTGTATGCAAAGTAGACCTACGTGGATGCAGATTTTCACTTCTTCAATGGAAAAGTTGTTCTTTAATAAAGGGTCTACCAACTCCAGTGCAGCATTCTCATTCCAAAGCCTCCATGCCTGTGTAATGATTTTGGCACGATTATGACTTTCGTTACCAAAAGTATATAATGAGCACTTGCTTGGATACATAAAGCAATCAGTTAGTTACATTTCTCTTAACTTTGCAGTTTCCTAATATTCTGTAGTACTATCAAACTATTTAGCTGACTATAAAACGTCCGGAGTATCTTCCTATGTGAAGTTCCACGTACCTGGGGAACTAAGCAATAAGCATACAAGCAACATTTTTTGTTTTGTAAAATTATAGCAGTGTTTTCATAGCCAAACAACTCTTGCTATCCTGATTCCTAAAAGGAAGAAGTTGAATGGTTTGATTAGAAACTTACACGGTGTAGTAATCTCTCTTCATGTTTTTGTCGGCAGAAGAAATTGTTCCTCTGGCCACAAACCACCTCCAAGACGATGACCCCGAAACTATAAACATCAGATTTTACAGAAAATTGACCTGCCAATGCATACTCTGGAGCCATATATCCACTGCATCATCACAACTAGGACATTATTAAAATGTTTATATGCTGCTACACAAAAGTACTAAATTGGTACAAGTACTTACTATGTTCCTACAATTCTCTTGGTGTCCCCTTGGGTTTGATCCACGCTGAAAAGCTTAGCAAGGCCAAAGTCAGCAATTTTTGGATTCATTGCCTCATCAATTAGTACGTTACTGGATTTTAGATCCCGATGTATTATCTTGAGTCGCGAGTCTTCATGTAGATATAATAGCCCCCTTGCTATTCCGGTGATAATGCTAAACCTTGTTTTCCAATCCAATGATGCACGCTTCAGTGGGTCTGTGAGTGAATACTATGTCAGATGCATGCAGTATAGAGGAATAATAACATTCATAGTATTTTAAAGCTGCTTATGATGTACCATATAAGAAGCGATCAAGACTTGAATTAGGCAGGTACTCGTAGATCAGTATCTTTTCCTTTTCTGATAAGCAGAATCCCAGTAATTTAACTAAGTTTCGATGTTGGAGCTTTGCAACTAAAAGAACTTCATTCTTGAACTCTAAGGTGCCCTGTTCAGAATATTCTGAGAGTCTCTTCACAGCTATTTCTTTCCCATTAACAAGCCTTCCCTGATAGAAATACAAGTGAACTGCATTCTTTTAAGAATTATCGTACAATAAACTACCTAATCAACAATGAAAACACCAGAAGACCTACTGTTTGCTGAATGCTCCAATTTCCAAGGCTAAAATTTAGGCTCGTTCGTTATTGTTGTGAATTGTTTTTAGGCCTTTTATAAACTCTAAATATGTTGTAACAATTTTGTTTTAAATTTTTTGAATTAACATAGTAGTTTGTAGTTGCGCTCACATCCAATTGGTTTGGATCAACATAAGACTGATAGACTGACAAAGATTGTAAGAGTTCACACCTTCACAATTACCTTATAGACTACGCCAAATCCACCCTTTCCAAGTTTGTTATCCTGGGAGAAGTTGTCAGTTGCAAGTTTTATAGTGCTGAGCTCATATTGCAACGATTCTATGTTCCTAATGTCTTCCATATCATCTGCAAACACATATATATAAAATGACTTCTGAAGTTAAGCATTACCTATGGAACACTTTTAGAAATTTACTTCTATCAGTCTAAAGGAGCTACTGGAAATATATCGTGTCTAGCTAACAACAAACACCGTTGTCAAATAACAGGTAACAACAATAACAACTACATAGGAAATTCAAATTGGGGTATAAAACTTACAAAATTACAACTTACAAGTAACATGTGTATGAGGAAGATATCTTGATTAAACAAACCTGCTAGAACAAAAATAAAGGTTTAATTGATTTAAATGTTACCATAAAAGGATTTAGTATTCGATGTTTCTTTAAGCACGTCCTGAAATCTCATTTTCATTTTCCTCCTTCGCAAACAAAACCAAGTAGTGGAAAGAAATAATATTGCTCCAATTACAGAGCTTGCTGCTATGCCACCAATATATGAGGCTGCCAAGGGCTTCCCTGGAACCAAAGATTATAACACAACATAAGAAAATTCTAAGATATTAAGCTAGTTACTAATCAGAGTCAATATGTAAAGAGTGTAAAATAAACCTCTGGACTTGATTTTGATTGAAGGTAGTGAGGCTGAGTTAGGGGAAGGCGTCGACAGGTAATTCACATTATAGAATAAACTTGTGTTATACATCAATCGACAGCCTGGAAGAAAGGTTGCTTGAGCTGATCTATAGAATTTATGTGCAGAGGTATTAAGGGCTTGTTTTAAGCAGATAGCACACTCAGACCCATCTAGAATACGTGCACACTCTGCAAGACAGTAAAGTCTAGCAGACGATGATGGAAAGATTGCTTCCTTCATAGCAATATGAGCGGAAGATGAATCATTAGCCGCAACCTTGATCATGGCATCAAATGTTTTTGTCAGTAATGCCTTCACCTGACTTGGATTCGCAATATCCACAGATGAGCCCCAAAACAAAGTATGTTTTGTTACGTCCTCTAAAGATATGGAACGATTGCAGAGCCATAAAGAGCATTCCATATACCATAGAATAGCGGATTCATAAAGAGGACACTTTTCATTCATATACTTAGCTGCAGCACTAACGCATTCACTGCAAACTTGTAGGCTTAGGTCCTCCCGGCATTGAAACAGGCCGCATACTTGGGTAGGCGTATCTCCCACTGTGGAATTATAAAACTTGACATCTGAGGCTTTCGAGGACAGATCAGACAATAGCTTATTGACATTTTCGGTGTATCCTCTATCCACAGTTACCTTACCAGAATCGCCGTTACTATCACAATTATCAGCTAACAGGGTGACATCAGCATTGATACTAAAGAAGTAGATGTGTAAAAAGCAGAATATCAAAGGCAAGATTTTCCTATGAGGATGCAGCAGGATATCATTCAGAATCATGAGAAAGCCTTTTGCAAAAGCTTCAGAATGCATAAAATTTAGTTCGACTGATCAGCTGAAAATATTGGTCGTTATTTTATAAGTGATTTCGTAGCCTGGGACATACCATATGAAATTGCATACTTTGCAATTTTCAGCAATAAAAGTGATGGATAAGAATCCAATATAATAATTTCCTACCCACTTCCTTGTGTTTCAGACATTATTTTAAAGTGTGCAATGCTTTTGACTATGGGCCCGTAGATTAGATGTGTGATACACTGGTGCATAGTGCTCATGGTGCAACCTGTCAAAAAAAAAAAAACAACAAATTATGTTCTTTGAGGTTCAAGTAACTCTGAATGACATTTTCATTTACTTCATGTTATTTTCAATACCGAGCATGTTCATTAAATTATGAACTACTTTTAATTCCTGTATATACATTAATAATGCGGTCACGAAGGTTTTGTTGGTCTTCTACTGTCAACATTAGATGTGAGGAAGAAGGGTAGGGAGTTGGGCAGAGCTAGTAACAAATTATCCGTTCCATCCGAGGCTTTATAGTTACATTTTGTGTTGTGGCTTGGTTGAACTTTGTTTTGCCAAGGTCTGACTCTTTTCCACCCATAATCAGGTCTATACCTATGTTAAATATTTAGGTTTATTAGATAGGATATATATTCAAAAGGGAGCCCCAATTCCTCGTTATGAGAAACACTTTTGTTTCTCATAATGACATTTTGGAAAATAATGTGATGTTTTTCACTGGTGGGGACCGCGTATGTGTCATGGGTGGGAGCCCCAGATCTTGACACACACCCCATGAGAAACAAAACTTGTTTCTCACAATGAGAAACAGAGAATTACCCTATATTCAACCCGAAACCAACACGTTTACTTGTTTATTCGAATAAACAAATTCAAATCTTCAATGAAATAATCAAACATCAAATTGTTTGAAGAACAAAAAGAAGAATTGGTGGACATTTCATTGGCAATTCTGTTTTAGTAAAATTTGGTAGACAAGATAGGCATAATAAATGGATGTACTAGTACTAGTCTACTACTGCCAAGAAAAATTGGAAACTACTTTTAATTAGTCAACACTATCATTCCTCCAACTAATTACTTAGTCAATACTTCTAATTATCCAAGTAGCTAGTGATGTATGTACTACTTCTGCTGAAGGAAGGTTTAATCATGAATGACTTTTGGGAGAAGTTGAAAGTGATCATTTTTTACAACAGGTTCTACATGATTATAAGCCAATTGTTCACTCTTCTTGTATAGAGTTCAATGCATGAAAATCGAAAATGTGGTTAGTTCAAAGAGGAAAAGACAACTATATAAAAGAAAAGCTCATTTGTCATTATTCATACGAAACAAGGTACTGTCTTTAACAATTTGTGTTTTGCAAGTTCCACAGGATTGATAAATACTGCATTTTGTGGCATTATCTAGGACAGAGTTCTGTGATATTCTTGGATCCTGTATATACATGAACAATATGATCATGAAGGATTTGCTGGTCTTCATCAGTGTCAACATTAGCTACGAGGAAGTGCGGAGTGCTAGGCAAAGGTAGAGTAACAGACTGTCCGTTCAATGCAGCAACAACCGAGGTCATTCTAGGCCTTTTAGTTGCATCTTCTTGGATGCAGAGTAAACCTATGTGGATGCAGATTTTCACTTCTTCAATGGAAAATTCGTTCTTTAGTGAAGGGTCTACTAGCACTAGTGCAGCCTTCTCGTTCCAAAGCCTCCATGCCTGTGTAATGATTTTGGTATGTTTATGACTTATGTTATAAAACTATAATGAGCACTATTTGCTTGGATGTATATAGTAATTAGTTAATTACATTTCCCGTAACTTTGCAATTTCCCTAATACTCTTTAGTACTATCAAATTATTTAGCTGACTATAAAACGTATTTTCCTATATAAATGTTCCACTTACCTGAGGAACTAAGCTAAGCAATAAGCATACAAGCAACATCTTTTGTTTTGTAAAAGTATAGCAGTGTTTTAAAAACCAAAGAACTCCTAGTATCTTAATTCCTAAAGGGAAGAAGTTAAGTGGTTTATATTTGATTAGGAACTTACTCGGTGTAGTAATCCTTCTTCATGTTGTGACCGATGAAAGAAATTGTTCCTCTGGCCAGTGACCACCTCCAAGATTATGACCCCGAAACTATAAACATCAGATTTTACAGAAAATTGACCTGCCAATGCATACTCTGGAGCCATATATCCACTGCATCATGATAACTATGACATTATTAAAATGTTTATATAGAGATTATAGACGTGGTACAAGAAGAGTGCCCAATCCCTATAAACTGCTAGACATAAGTAGTTGCGAGTAATTGACTAATACTTACTATGTTCCTACAATTCTCTTGGTGTCCCCTTGGGTTTGATCCACTGTAAAAAGCTTAGCAAGGCCAAAGTCAGCAATTTTTGCATTCATTGCCTCATCAAGTAGTACGTTGCTGGATTTTAGATCCCGATGTATTATCTTCAATCGCGAGTCTTCATGAAGATATAATAGTCCCCTTGCTATTCCGGTGATGATTTTAAGCCTTGTTTCCCAGTCCAATGATGCACACTTCAATGGGTCTGTGATTGATTTGTTAAACGCAGTATTGAGGGAAATTTAACATGCATAAACTATATAGCTGTTAAAAATGGATACTCTAAACAAGAATGGATATGATGCATGTACCATATAAGAATCGATCAAGACTTAAATTTCGCAGGAACTCGTAGACAATTATTTTTTCCTTTTCTGATATGCAGAACCCCAGTAATTTAACTAAGTTTCGATGTTGAAGCTTTGCAACTAAAAGAACTTCATTCTTGAATTCTAAGGTTTCCTGTTCAGAGTATTCTGAGAGCCTCTTTACAGCTATCTCTTGCCCATTTTCGAGTGCTCACTGTATGATTTATGAAGAAAATACACCCATTAATTATTTTTTCTTACAGTTAACACTATGTTTGACTGCAAATCTGATTACAGCTATTTTGTGCCACCATCATTTCCAGTAAGATGCTTGTTCAGACATATTGTATCAAACAATAGAGTCAAGTACAAAGAGTGGAAGATTTCCTATACAACTGTTGCATTGGATAATTTCTATTCTCCTAATACTTGCCTACTTGGGGCCATTGGGGGAGTAAAAAGATTCTGAGCGAACATGTTAAAAGAAACAATAAGCTACTTGTTTCTAATTACCAACACAGTATGAGAAAATAATCGGGATCAATATTTGTAAGACCTTTTGGTGTGGTTGACCTTGGCCAAGGCGACGACAAATAACTCACATCATAGAAAGGAACTATGTCATACATCAACTGACAGCTCGGCATAAACATATATAAAGCTGTTACATTACCGAAAGGATTAACTACAGTTGTAGTATTCACAGCTTGTTTTAGACAAAAGGCACACTGAGATCCGTTTAGGTCAGAAGTGCACTGTGCAAGACAGTACAACCTCTCAGATAAAGAGGGCAAGGGTGCATTTCTGATAGCGAAATGAGATGTACCGTTAATTGCATCCTTGATCACATCATTGATTGTAGTCGCTAATACTGCAGCAAACTCACTATGGTTTGAGGGCTTTGATAAGTACGTAAAATAAGAGTATAGTTCTGTGTCATTCAAGAAAGAGATGGGACTGTTTTCAAACCGCAAACTACATTGCATATACCACACCACAGCTTGTTTATAAAGGGGACACTTTACATACATCCAATTAACTGCTTCATCAACACATTCGCTGCAAACTTGTAGGCTTAAATCCTCCCGGCATTGAAACGTCCCATATACTTTGTTAGGTGTTTCACCAACTGTGGATTTGTAAAACTTGACATCTGAGGCTTTTGAGGAAAGATTAGACAATAGTAGATGGACATTTCCCGCGTATTCTCTATCAAGAGTTACATTTCCAAATTCTCCGTGACATGTTTCAATGACCCGTTGAACAGCAGCACTTATACTATTCAATTGAATGAACAACAATGTCAACAAAGGCAAGACTTCCAAATATTGAATCTGGGGTGCAGCTGGATGTCTTTCAGAGTCATGATAAATGTAACTTCTCTAAACTTCCATAAAATTTATGTTAATTTAGCCTGTATGGAGATCTTATAATCTACCCCAGTAAGTCTAAAGTTCGACAAAATTAACAAACGCAAATAAATGATTGATCAATTTTTGGTCTACTCTGTATACAATATGATGTAGAAGGGTATGACTGGTTGTTTCTAATTTTTTTTCATTCATTCTTCAAGTGTTCCAGCAGAATTAGTCTGTAAACAAAGTTTAGTAGCAGTCACGACTCGAAGATTTCTCATTGACCGTGTGCTCAACATACCTTCAAAAGTGTTCTGACTCCTTCTCAGATACAGTGATGATCCACATTAAAACGTCCCCAAATATGTACTTTGGACGAATCAATGGCCTTAATTAGTTAATTATATATATATATATATATATATAGGGGAGGGATCCGGTAAGAACCCATAGTTATATAAGAATCTTAGTTATATAAGAACCAATCACATCCGTAGGATTAGATTAGGATGAGCGGTCAAGATTAAAACAAAAAACCTACCCCTAAACCCTCCCCAACCGTCCAATATTTTCTCTCTCCTCAAACTTTCAACCCTCTTTACTTTCTCTCTCCACAAATCCCAAAATCTAGCCCAAATTGCTGCTAAAACAACCTAAATTGCTCAAATCAGGTACATTTTCTTCGATTTTGTTCTAATTTTATGAATTTCGCATGATTTTCATTACTGATTTTGTTCGATTTTTGCGATTTCTATACTCGATTTTGTTCGTTTGATGTTTGATTTATGTTCGATTTTACTATTTATATACATTTTGTTCGAATTTTCCTGATTTTGTTCGAATTTTATGATTTATCATTTTTCATTGTTGATTTTGTTCGATTTTCGCGATTCATCAATTTGACTTTTTTTTTTTTTCCCCGATATCAGTTTTCAATTTTCTTTTATTTTCGATTTCATCAGTTTGATTTATCAATTGCGGTTTTTTCGTATTTGTGCAATTAGTTTAATGTCTATTAATGAATGTTAATGGTTTTATGTTTATTATTTGTCTTCTTGTCAAGTATTATATGTCTTATAATCAACTGTTGCATTTCCCATTAGCGGTAGTGTGATTTGTGATGATCATGAAATGAAATGCTGCTTTACTGGTTGATAGTGAAATGGTGGTTTTACGTGAATTATTTTGTTCGATTTTTATTTTTTATTTATGTTCGAATTATTTTGTTCGATTTTTTGCATATTAATTAGTTCGATTTATGTTCGAATTATTTCACCGCTGCTCTTGATTATTGTATATCAGACTATTAGTGCAAAATGTATTATACTTCTCTGATTTGTAAATAAGCTTAGCATGTTCCAAATTATTTCTCAGCATGTTCGGAACTCTTTCTCAGCATGTTCGAAACTCTTGTTTATGATACACCATTCTTTTATATATGTTTATGAAAAGATGCTATTTGCAAAATGCTGACAAGTATCTAGCCAGCTTGAGACTTGTAGCTTCATTCTCTTACTCTGAAGTCTGAACTGATGTACTTTCCACTAATGAGGTTTGTGATCTGATATCAGTGTATAGCTAAAGTTGCTTTGGTGCCAATAGTTACTGATCTTGACTGAGATCTGATTCCCAACTGTCAGAATAAATGCTTGAATCTTGCAAAAATGCTAGCTCTTTTCTATTCAAGGTGGTTTTGTATTCATATTGGAACAAGTCTCGTTTCCTTTTTTATTTTTATATGAGGTCTCTTCCCTTAATTGGGAATAATTTGAGGAAGTTGGTGATTATTGGTTTAGAAAGTCTCTTTCCTTAATTGGGAATAATTTGAGGAAGTTGGTGATTATTGGTTTAGAAATTGCTTGAATCTTGAAAGACCTTTAAATGCATTGGACTTGAATGAATCTTTCAAATAGTTAAAACTATATAATGTCTACAAAGACAACTTTTGTAGTACTTCTTGTGCGGATCAGTTAGACTTTCATCCTTAGTGACATTCCTGAACAACTTGTTTTTGTGATGCCCTTGATAAATGATGTCCATTGCAAAGGTATATTCATTTATTACGAAGTACTAATGAAGCTTCCATTCAAATAGTACTAATGAAGTACTATTTGGATAATGTATACCTAGATTTAGTGCAACAAGAGAACAAAAATTAAATCTACCTCTTGCTAGTGATACCTCTTGTTGTGTTCTTAATTGTTAGTGATATAATTATGATATCATGTTCTAAACTATTTTCAGCATGTTCTAAACTATATTCAGCATTTTCTAAACTATTCTTATGTTTAAAATATATTACTAATGTTGGAATGTTACTAATATTTTTTATTTCTTAAAATTACAGCAAAATGCAAGGCTAAAATGAAGAAAAATCAGATGAAGAAATTACTATTATACCAGATAAAAAAATTACTTATGGAAGAAAAAGGTAATTAAAGTTTATGTATTATTTTTCCCTCATGTTCTAAAGTTTTCCCTTATTTTCTAAACTTTTTCCCTATGTTCTAAAGTTTTCCCTTATGTTCTAAACTTTTCCCCTTATGTTCTAAATTTTTTCGCCTTATGTTCTAAAGTTTTCCCTTATGTTCTAAAATTTAGTACATAGGGAAAAAGTTTAGAACATAAGGCGAAAAAAGTTTACAACACAAGAAAAAGTTTAGAACATTGGGTGAAAAAATTTAGTATAAAGGAAAAAAAGTTTAGAACATAGGGTGAAAAATTTAGAACATAGGAAAAAAAGTTTAGAACATAGGGTGAAAAAAATTAGAATATAGGGAAAAAAATTTAGAACATAGGGTGAAAAAATTTAAAACATAGGGAAAAAAGTTTAGAATACAGGGTGAAAAAATTTAGAACATAGGGAAAAAAGTTTAGAACATAGGGTGAAAAAATATAGAATTGAGAAATTTTAAGATTATAGATAGAAAAAATTTAGAATATTGGGTGAAAATTTTCATAATATAAAAAAAATTCAAAGCATAGACGGAAAAATTTAAAGTAATGGATGAAAAAGATAATAGGAAAATAATTTAGAACATATAAAAAGGCGTAGGTATTTGTTCGGGTTTTTTTTGGCAGTTTCTAGGCGTTGGTGTTTTGGTTTCTATTTGTTATTTTATCTTTGGCCTTTTCTTTTGTTCCCCATTTCTGGCAATAATAAAGAGTATAGTTCATTCTATATTATGGGACTGCTTTAGCCTTCATTTTTGTGTTGTCGATATTCTTCGCATTCAACTGTCTTGTTTTGGTAGGACAATAAGCTGGTGCATTCGAAAGTCTGAGCCTCTTATTGGAATTCCAATGGTTAAGGTGATGACTTCCCGTCTTGGGTCAGTAAACACAATGAACTGTCAATTAAACTTTCAGTTGTGTGTTGCAGGGATTATGCTCATTCAGGAGCGGCATGTTTAATTATGCTTAACTAAACCTAGATTATGTAACGGTAATGACACGATTGGAGCATTGTCTCATATTAGGGAAAGGTTAATTCACAGCTAACCTTTGATTCAAATACACCTAATTCCTACATTGAGTGCCGTTACTTACTCGTTACATTCTACTATCCCAAATTTTGCACAAATTATTGACATTGTTACTAATAAAACTTTAGAACATAGCTAGTAAAAATTTAGAACATAGAAAAGAAAAACAACTTTAGAACATAAGTAGACTAAATTTAGAATATAGGCAAAAGAATTTAGAACATAGGTAAAAGAATATTTAGAACATAGGAAAAAAAAAACTTTAGAACATAGGTAGAAAAAACTTTAGAACATAGGAAAGAAAAAAAAACTTTAGAACATAAGTAGACTAAATTTAGAATATAGGCAAAAGAATTTAGAACATAAGTAAAAGAATATTTAGAACATAGGGAAAAAAAAAACTTTAGAACATAGGTAGAAAAAATTTAGAACATAGGAAAAAAAAAACTTTAGAACATAGGTAGAAAAAACTTTAGAACATAAGTAGAAAAAACTTTAGAACATAGGTGTAGAATATACGAACAACTTTAGAACATAGGAAAAATTTGGGACATGAGAAAATGATTTACAACATAGTAAAAATTTAGAACATTGGGAAAAAAATTAGATCATAGGAAAAAAAATTGGAAATTTAGAATATTGGGAAAAAAAAATAAGGGCATAGAAAATAAGTTTAGAACATATACTAAAAATTTAGAACATAGTGTGAAAAAATTTAGAACATAAGGTGAAAAAATTTAGAACATAGATAGAAAAAATTTAGAACGTACAGAAAAAAAAAATTAGAAAATAGGTAGAAAAGATTTTGAACATAGGATAAAATTTAGAGCATACGGAAAAAATTTAGAGCATACGGAAAAAATTTAGAACATAGGAAATAAATTTAGAACATAGACAAAAAAATTTGAATATAAGATATATATGTAGAACATGGACAAAAAACTTTAAAACATAAACAATAAAATGTAGAACATAGGAAAATAGTTTAGAACATATATATATTTAGAGCTTAGATTGAAAAATTTAGAGCTTAAGCAATAAATTATAGAACATATGCAAATAATATTTAGAACATATGATAAAACCTATTAGCTCAATTGGAAGAGCACTATGCAAATGCATAGAGGATGTAGGTTCAATTCCTACATAGGTTATCTTTATAAATAACTAAAAAAACTTCAAATGTTTTTTTTTTAAAAAAAAAAATCCAATAAAACAAATTAAATTAGCACTAAGTTATATGAGCAGAAAATAAGTAGACTAAATTTAGAATATAGGAAAAAAAACTTTAGAATATAAGTAGACTAAATTTAGAACATAGGAAAAAAAAAATTAGAACATAGGTAAAAGAATATTTAGAACATAGGAAAAAAAAAACTTTTAAACATAGGTAGTAAAAATTTAGAACATAGGAAAAAAAAAACTTTAGAACATAAGTAGACTGAATTTAGAACATAGGCAAAAGGTAAAAGAATATTTAGAACATAGGAAAAAAAAACTTTAGAACATAGGTAGAAAAAATTTAGAACATAGGAAACAAAACTTTAGAACATAAGTAGACTAAATTTAGAACATAGGAAAAAAAAAATTAGAACATAAATAGACTAAATTTAGAACATAGGAGTAGGCAAAAAAATTTAGAACATAAAAGAAGAATTACAGAAATGCCATTACTAAAGAATCATTTTAGGTGGTTAGATCAAAACTAATAAAGGGCTGAGATTGGTTCTTATATAAGATTGGGTTCTTATATAGAGGAGGGTTCTTACATGAGCCTTCCTCTATATATATATATATATATATATATATATATATATATATATATATATATATATATATATATATATATATATATATATATATTACCAACTTGCTTTAGTAAGGAATTAGGTGAACAAGTCTACTATATTGCAATTTGTTTGTAATTTGCTAGACCTTATCTCTTTAATTTGGGTGGGATACTTCAACCCGAAACTGACACGCTTAACTGGTTTATTCAAATTAAATGAGAACATTGAACCCTTTAAACAAATTCAAATTGTTAATTAAAAAAATCAAACGTCAAATTATTTGAAAACAAAATTAAAAATTCGTAGACATTTCATTGGCAATCTTGTTCCAAGTAAAAGAGGTCAAGAAAATATATATAATAGGAGTAAATGAAGAAAAGATCACTATTTATTAATCATAGGAAACAAGGTGTCGTCCTCAACAATTTGTGTCTTGCTAGCTCCACATTAATAGATATAATATTTGCAAGGTGATAAGAATTGACAAATACTGCATTTTGTTACATTATCTGGGACAGAATTCTGTGATATTCCTGGTTCCTGTATATTCATTAATAATATGATTATCAAAGAGTGGTTCATCAGTGTCAACATTAGCTGTGAGGAAGTGGGGAGTGTTGGGTAAAGGTAGAATAACAGACTGCCCGTTCAATGCAGCAACAACCGAGGTCATTCGAGGCCTTTTGGTTGCATCTTCTTGTACACAGAGTAGACCTATGTGGATGCACATATTCACTTCTTCAACGGAAAAGTTGTTTTCTAATGAAGGGTCTACCAGCTCTAGCACAGCCTCGTCGTTCCAAAGCCTCCACGCCTGTGTAATGATTTTGGCACGTTTATGACTTAAGTTCCAAAATTTTATATAATTACTTGGTGTTTGGATATAAAAAGTTACGTTTCCCATAATTTTATTTGCAACTCCCTAGTAGTACTATCATCTCTTAAGAGATATAGAAACTAGTCGTGGGGTACTAAGCATGCAAGCAACTTTTTCTGTTTTGTACTAAACAACCACTGCTAGTATCTTAATTCCTAATAGAAAGATGTTAAATGATTTTATATGTATGAAACTTACTCGGTGTAGTAATCCCTCTTCATGTTGTTGTCGACCGAATATATTATTCCTCTGGCCAGTGACCACCTCCAAGACTATGACCCCAAAACTATAAACATCAGATTTTACAGAAAATTGACCTGCTATTGCATACTCAGGAGCCATATATCCACTGCATCAGCATAATTAACACATTAATAAAATGTATGTATAGACATGGTTCAAGAGGATATAATAGTGCTACACAAAAGTACTTAATTGGTGCTACTACTTACTATGTTCCTATAATTCTCTTGGTGTCCCCTTGGGTTTGATCCACTTTGAAAAGCTTAGCAAGGCCAAAGTCGGAAATTTTTGCATCCATTGCCTTGTCAAGTAGTACGTTACTGGATTTTAGATCACGGTGTATTATTTTCAGTCGCGAGTCTTCATGAAGATATAATAGCCCCCTTGCTATTCCGATGATAATTTTAAACCTTGTATTCCAATCCAATGATGCGCGCTTCAGTGGGTCTGTGTGAGACTAATTTGTCAAATAGATGCAGTAATAAAGGGATGATAACATTCATAATATTTAGAGCTACTTAAATGGGATAACAAGTAAAATGCTTATGATGTACCATATAAGAAGCGATCAAGACTCAAATTAGGTAAGAACTCATAGATCAGTATCTTTTCCTTTTCTGATAAGCAGAATCCCAGTAATTTAACCAGGTTTCGATGTTGAAGCTTAGCAACTAAAAGAACTTCATTCTTGAACTCTAAGGTTCCCTGTTCAGAAGATTCTGAGAGTCTCTTCACAGCTATTTCTTTCCCATTTTCGAGCCTTCCCTGATAGAGATACAAGTGAACAACATCCATTAAGAATTATCTTACAATATACTACCTAATCAACCATTACAACAATAGAAGTCCTACTGTTTGCTGAGTGTTCCGAGGCCATTTACAAAACATTTGGGCTCATCATTATTGTTGTGAATTTTTAGTTTTTAGCTCTTTTATGAAACTGTAAATATGTAACAATTTTGTTTTAGTGAACTTTCTGTTTTTAGCCCTTTTATGAAACTGTAAATATGCTAACAATTGTGTTCTAAAGTTTTGAATTAACAAGTTTGTAGTAGTGTTCACATCTATTTGGCTTGGATCACTGAGACTGATAAGATTGTTACAGTTCATGGTTACCTTATAGACTTCACCAAATCCACCCATTCCAAGTTTGCTATCCTTGGAGAAGTTGTCAGTTGCAGTTTTTATCGTGCTGAACTCATATCGTAACGATTCTATGTTCCTAATGTCTTCCATATCATCTGCAAACACAATTATAAAAAAATTGACTTCTGAAGTAAAGCACTACCTGTGTAATACTTGTGAAAAACTACTTATAAGGTCCAAAGTATCAGCCTTTAGGAACCGCTGTAGACAACAATAGCTTACAACAAGCAAGAAATACCGTTGCCAAATAATTAGTAACAACAATAACAACTACATAGGAAATAAAAATTGGGGAAGATAACCTACAAATTTAAAGTAACAAGTGTATGAGTAAAATTTCTTGCTTAAACTAACCTACCAGAACAAAAATAAAGTTTTAATTGACTGAAATGTTACCATAAAATGTTCTACTATTGGATGTTTCTTTAAGCATGTCCTGAAATCTCATTTTCATCTTCCTCCTTCGCAAACAAAACCAAGTAGCAGAGAGAAATAGTATTGCTCCGATTGCAGCGCTTGCTGCTATTCCACCAATATAAAAGGCTACCAATGGCCTCCCTGAAACCAAATATTATAACAATTCATAAGATAATTTTAGGATACTAAGCTAGTTTCAAATCAAATTCAAAATGTAAAGAGTGTATAGTTAACCTCTGGACTTGATTTTTATTGAAGATGGTGAGGTTGAGCTTGGGGAAGGTGACGACAGGTAGCTCACATTATAAAATAAACTTGTGTTATACATCAACCGACAGCCTGGAAGAAAGATTTCTTGAGCTGATCTATTGAATTGATTTGCAGAGGTATTAAGAGCTTTTTTGAGGCAGAAAGCACACTCAGATCCATCTAGAATACGCGCACACTGTGTAAGACAGTAAAGTCTAGCAGACGATGATGGAAAGGTTGCTTCCTTCATAGCAATATGAGCGGGAGATGAATCATTAGCAGCATCCTTGATCATGGAATCAAATGTTTTTGTCAATACTGCATTAACCTGACTTGGATTCGCAACCTCCACTGATGATCCCCAAAACAAAGTATGTTTTGTTACGTCCTCTAAAGATATGGAACTGTTGCAAAGCCATACAGAGCATTCCATATACCACAAAATAGCAGATTCATAAAGAGGACACTTTTCATTTACATACTTAGCAGCAACATCAATGCATTCACGGCATACTTGTAGGCTCAGGTCCTCCCGGCATTGAAACAGGCCATGAACTTTGTTAGGCGTATCTCCAACCGTAGAATTATAAAACTTGACATCTGAGGCTTTCGAGGACAGATCAGACAATAACTTATTGACATTTTCAGCATATCCTCTATCATCAATTACCTTACTAGGGTCGCCTTTACTGTCACATTTATCAGCTAACAGGGTAACATCAGCAGTGATACTAAAGAAGTGGATGTTCAAAAGGAAGAATATCAAAGGCAAGATTTCCCTAATGAAGCCAGGAAACAGCAGTATATCATTCAGCATCATTAGAAAGCCTTTTGCAAAAGCTTTAGAATGTATAAAATTTACTTTGACACAAGTGATTTCGTAGCCTGGGAATTACAATATGAAATTGCATTACTTTGCAATTTCAGCAAGACAGTTAGGAATCAAATATAATAATTTCCTCCCCACTTCCTCGCGATTAAGACTAATTTAAAAGCAGTTGGTTTTATATTTTTTTTACTATGGGCTAGCAAAAGTGCTCATTATCTCTAAAATTTCTACATGCTTTGACCTTTTCATCTTTTATTTAGGATCATCTTTTATTAAGGATGTCAACGGGGCGGGTAAGACGAATATTGATCCTATTCCCACCTCAATCTCTATCTCCAGCGGCGGCGAATTCATAATCCATTTGAATTATTAAATATACATGGGGACATGGCTCTAAAGTAAAGTTAGGCAAAGTTCAAGTAACCAAAGTGATTATCATCATTTTTATTCTTTTTTTATTTCAAAGAATGGAAGTGATCATGTACCACTAGAAGTTGAGCATAATTAGCGATTTTCTTATCAATTTCTAATTGCAACTTAAGTTTATGCTCCTTAATACAGTAGTTAGTACAATGATTGACATACTTACTACAATGGGTACACAACAACAACCAAGACTTTAACTATGCAAAGCCTTACCCCAAATCAGTCAAGGCTAATAAGATACAAACATACAGTGTCCAAAGACGCGAATAAAATCATATCATACCCTAAATCAATCATGATATATACTCCACACTTCGTATATAAATCTAAGATGACTGATTGGGAGACTTAAATTCTTCTGAGAAGGTTACACAATATAAACCAACCAACCATGGTATGAAGTACATTTGAACATAAATTACAACAGAAAATTAAATGTATTACGAGCATTCAAGTTTGTACCAATTCCGGTATGAGCTTCAGAAGAAAAGAGAGCTCACGATCTGAGAACTTTACAGGTGACCTCTCTCTCTTTTCTTCCATATCTTTACCGTTAATTAAGGAATTCTCTTCATCAGTCTCCTCAGCAGATGTCTCGCTAAAATCTGATACTGCTTCTTTTATCTCTTGAACACAGTCGACGATCACACCTTCAACACCCATTAGATGCTGCATGTATACTGCCTCTGGCACGTTACTGATCATGTAAAAACAAAGAATTAATTCCAATTAGTATGATTCAGATTACAAATTAACCGATGCAAAATACTGAAAACATATCAAATTTAGGCTTACTTTAATTGGCCATAAGAAATAAGGGAGAGCTTGGATTCTTTGATCCTAGCAACCATTGCAGGGTGTCTAAAAATCGCCCTTACTTGAGAGACGATCCCTTGTAAGCCAGCTTCAAGACAAAGCTTGATGGCTTCCTCTAGAGAATTCCTTCTAGGATCAGTGTATATTTCACATCCTCCATTGGTAAGAAAGAAAACCTGAATCAATCATACATAATCTCGTCAAAAAAATTATATAAAATGCAGGATTTTTAGAATTTTAGAGAGCATAAAGAATAGGAATATAGTGAGATTACAGGGTGATTATCCTGCAGTTTTCTCATCAACTGCACAACATCAGGTTGAAAGCTTGAAAAAAGTATGGGCCTCCTTTGATCAGCATGATTATCGACAATCTGCAGTATCACAACTCAAGCAAATCAGAACAATCAAAACAACAACGAGCCTATGCATGAAAATAAAGCTGAGTTATATGAATTTTCATCAAATTACGCTTTTAAATACCTTTAAAACTGATTGAAGGATGCGTTTGAGCTCCACTTCATCATAAATTTTGCTATCATCGAGTTTCAACTCAATATTAAAACCCAAGGAATTATCAACATTTTCAAAAGCCTCTTGCAATGTGCATAAAGGAGCATCATTCTCAACTTTCCACTCAAATATACTCCCATCTTTTGCTTTTCGAAGCATAGGCTTTCCAACCTGAAATAGACAATTTACATAACAAAATGCTTATGTTTCCAAAAATGCACCTGCTTGGTAAAATTATTCAAGTTTTCCTTTGCAAAGAGGTATACCTTTCCTGGCTCTTTTTGAGGTCCATAACTCAGATATTCTTCTAAGGTAATCTCTGTCACTCTTTTCTCTATAATGACTCCCTAAGGTCATTCGACATCGATTGAGAGATCAGCAATCATTAGTTCAAGTGGTTAGAACACATCATATATTCATATGCGAAGATAAAACAAGCGGCTGGAAAAATAGAATCGTACTAACCTCGTCTTGGGTAAGGATATGTATGTCATGAAAAATGACAGGGCAGTCATCTCTGGTGACCTACAAACATAGGTTTTTGGTTTACAGATCCTAATGAGGATCATCTCTCATGCACCCAATACTAATAAGAAAAGAAAGAAATTTGCAAACCACACAGAATTAAACCAAATCAGTACCTTATTTGTAGCTAAAACGACATTCTTAATCGGAGATTTTAAACTATTTCTTACGCAAAAATCAAAATGGCTAGTTTAATTCATGAAATGAAGTAACTATCTTAGTGAAACAGTCTTGTGATTAAAAGTGCACCAATTACAACAATCTTTACTGTACTTCGTAGTACTGTCACAATTACAAAATTCTGCAGTCTCTATCCCTAAATGTCCGCTACAAGTTTATAACAAAGGTACAAAGTAGGAAAGAAAGAACAAACAAACAACAACGAAATCGATATACGTAGTATATTTATGTGGTTCCCTAACAAGACTTTGTATGTCAATGTGTATAGGGGTATGTAATCTCTGTCACTCTTTTTTTATAAGACTGAAAAACGTCAATCTGCAACTCGATTTCCTTCTCTATATGCTATATTGGACTAGGTATGTATTTTATTGCAAAAGTGCAAGTTTGGTCTCACTAGTAAGATATTTAAATCTTTGGATCATTAAGGAAAATGAAAAATCATAAGGCCCATCCATGATCCAAGAAGACACTCATGTAATCTCTTTGGATAAGCCCATACAATAGTCCAGCCCATTATAATTTTAAACAGACAGGAAAAAAATAAAATTAAAACCAAGAGACACGTGTAAGATTTCCATGCATCTGGGTAAACAACTAGAAATCGCGGCGAACATCCTGTGACTCTTTCCCCAAGTTTTGCCATTCGTCAAATTCACCACTTTCTCGTAATCCCATTTCCCACCCACACAAACAACGATTATAATACTCCATAGTCCATAAGCATATACTCCATCTGTCCTATAATACTTATGCAATTATCATTTTTGTCTGTCCTAAAATACTTGACACGTTACTAAATATGAAATGAAACCACTAATAAAAAAAATATTTTCCTATAACCACAAAGTCTACAATCCAATTAAATCCTATATTTTTTCTCTACTCACTATCCCCACCTCTCTTACTTTTTATTTTCTTACAATATAAAAATACAAAAGAGATTCCTTTATATAATAAACAAATTCTCGTAATTTAAATGGATCAGCTTAAATTTATAGTTTTCTTAAATTACGTGTTCACCCCAAACGTCTCAAGTATTATAGAACGGAGGGAGTAATCAAACATTGGTAACACCAATAACGCGTAATTATGTCATACATTTTCAAATTAATAATTGTAAGTTGTAACATATTATTGACTATTGAGTATTGACGTATCATAAGCAAAGAAAAATACACCAAGAACATGAAATTAAATTTAAAAAAAGTTGGGAAAAATAGAAAAAATTACCTGAACATCAAACTCAATGAAGTCGAGATTAAATTGAGCAGCATGATTAAAAGAGCGAATAGAATTCTCCTTAAAAGTTTTCATTTTAGGATCTGAAGATTGCAGAATATTCATACCACTTCCTCTGTGTCCCATTACCACAAATTTCCCAACTTTATATGATTTCTTCTTCTTTCCTTCTTTTTCCTCTTCCACCAAACATTCTGTATGAACTGCAACAATAAATTAATTATAATCATAAGCATTCATATATTTTTGTGAAAAGATTTTAATTAAAGAATCAATCAAAAAATTAAGAAAAATACCGGAAGGAAAAGAAGTGGGAGAAAAAATGGTGGCATTTTCTGAGATATAATTGGTGTGATCGAAATTTGGTAAGTTTGCGACATGAATTGCTTTCAGAGCCATTGGAAATGTGAAGATGGAGAAAGATGAAGATTTTGGGAGATTAATAATATTTCACGACTATATTTTATAGGAGTATTGTCTAATGCAGAATAACGATATTTTAGGCTACTCTTTTTATATCTAAGGAGGGGTTTACAGCTTACTTCGTATATATACCTTGTAGGAAATTTTATTAACGAATATTCCGTTATTATTCTTTTTTTTTTTCTTGTTAATGTATATTGTATTTCTTGTCTAAATATGACTATAAGTTTATAACATGTACGATAATAACATCAATCGTCACATGTTAGTTATAAAAAAATCCTCAAACTAACACTGATCATAAAATATATTTTACAGATTACTCCGTATATTTAATGCTTGTACTTCATGTGACAAGTTTATAATATGGTCATACATTGTATATGTTGAAACGAAAACAATCCAATATAGAGGAACAACTTTCCCATTAGGCCATTAGTGACAATGTTAGGTGATCTTTAAAGACTTTTCGGTTCCGTAAAACCCTTCATCTTTATCACAATTAATTAAATAAATACGGAGTACATAAAGAGGAGCAACATTATTGTTGACCTTCCCTAAACCCCGCTGAATCCTGCCATCGGACCACAAAATATTCCATCACAAACGGGCTCCACATTTTCTACAACTCTGTCAGCTAAAATAACTCAAGATAGAATCTCTCTAAATTTTTTAATATGAATTCCTTAATGGTTGTATTTACAAATGGTTAGATTTTTGATGGATCATCGATTCGCTGCACCTTTTTAATTATGTTTATGTCTACTTACAAGGAACTTTGACTGTAATATATACAAAATACAAGAACAAATAAATTCATTCAAATGAAGTGTCATCAAATTTGTTTCAAATAACATATATTTTATTTATCTAGACTTATTAAAATTCATAAAAACTTATTTTAATTGTAATTAAAATTTGATAACCCTTACTGTTGAGATCATATTTTGTCGTATGCTAATGTGGCATGTTAGTTATGAGTTTGTTATGCTTATAAGTTATAACAAACTCTCTCCTAGAAGCTTCTTGGTTTATTATATTTATTATAAATACCTGTATTTGCTCCTGTAAATCTGTAATTAAGGCTTCATAATGAAAATAAATGATTTCTTAATTCCTCTGAACTTAAACTTCATTGAGTTTGATGTACATGAAATTTTTTTCAATGATCCAAACAATAAAAGAGCAACAATTGAAACTGGTGACCTAAGTTTACCCAGGTGACATATACTTGAACATTAACGTGTCGTCCCATTCTAGATTATTTTGGAACATGGTTTAGAACCATTCCAAAATTCAGAAAAGCCAACACGTAAATTCTAGAAAATCGCCATGTATATTAAATATACTATTACATGATTGCTTCTCCATAACAAGTGGTGCCTATATATGTTGTCCAACATAATTTAATGATATTTCTAGAGTCTAACTGATTGTGGTCAGCTACCAACTCAAAGCTCATGAAACATACCGCACTTACTAGTAATTTTGCCATTTTGCTCAAATATTGTTCATCAATTACATCATAGTATGACACCATTCGTTACGAAAATGGGCAATAAATTCATATTTTATACCTTTGAAAAGCATGTTCTGCTAGACTATCAACATTCAACAATGGGCTTGAACTTTGAACAAATTGTACCACAATAACATCTTGCTAACAAGTAAAAACATAACCTGAAGTTGGAGTGCCATAACCTATTTTCATTCACCATGAACGCCTCAATCTATACCCTTCAAACTAAATTCTGATGCGGAGCACTCCAATTTATAATCCATCTATCATCTGTTAGATGTCATATTTAGGACACGGAAACATTAAGGTTTTCTGATTTTGAAATCAGTTCTCCGATAAATGTTTCTGACCTAATGGTTTTCCCTGTTAAAAGCAAACAAACAACCAATATAGAGAAGTGAAAACTACCTTTCATAAACGCAAGCAGCAGACATACCTGCTTCCACATAAGTCCCAACACATAATATTCTTATTGTCTTGCCAAAACCTCCTACTTGGGTCGCTTTTACTTTGGATGACTCATTTAGTGTTAAACATAATGTAACAACAAAAATAAATTTCATTTTCAATGGTGATACGAAATCCTGAAATTTCAAGGCTGATGTGGCCACCAAAAAAAAAACGGGTAATGAACCAAGCACTTAAAGCAAAAGATGAAGAAGATATTAAGCTCATACAATAACAAAAGTACACGTAAAAAAATCACAACTCGCTTTCAGAGATGACATCAAACAACAGACTTTTACGACAGGAATGAAGTGGCTACCACTACCAATGAATAGGATCAAAAGAAATACTTCAAAGCAACAAATGCAGATAAAGAAGAGATTCCAGTCATACGTGAATTCAATGAACAGGTAAAACAATAGCAACGCAGGTAAGGAAAAGGAAAAGAACACAAGCACTTTCTCCACTTTTTACTTGCTAATGTTAATGTGGTGGGTCTCTCTGGTCATTCTGCCAATGAATAAACCTCAGCAATGGTAAAAATTGCACTCATTGTGAAGTAATCGTATGAACAAATCAAATTCAGACAGCATTTTCTGCAAAATGAGCCTTCATAGTTGATGACCTTCCAATATTGGAATATCAATTTAGAAGGGCGTTCATCATAGTACATGAATGGGTAATTAGCATTGGACAAACAGGCCAACTTGAAATCAGAAGAAATTCCTAGAATGCTTCAGACAAAACAGTAAAGCCAAACTACTGTCTAAACTCTAACCAAAGTACCGGTAATGTTTCACGGTTTCACCTCTTGCTCAATATGAAACTCCACATCTAAATACGAGTAATGCAATGATTCCACGTATGACTGACATGTCCACAGATGGCATAAGAAGAATATAATTTTCAATTTCTAATTGAGAAGGTATTCTCATTCATACCATGAATCATGCAACTGAGTTTTAATTTAACGAACACGTTATCAAGTACTGACCAAAAAAAAAAAAAAAACACAGACACACACCTCCAATCAAGTACAATCAATGCTGGAACCATAGGAATACTAGTATCAGTGTTCTATACAACCAGATCTAGTCTGCTTCAGGAGTCTTCAAGCATAAAACAAAACCTATTTTTCAGAAGCAGATGCAAGAGCAAAGCAAACGAAGGAAAACAATAGATAGGATTATGGATCTCTAAACAGTAAACAGACATTCATGGTAGTGCTTACTGAAAAACCTTTGTGATAATCAGAACTTGGAACCGTGATGGCCCATAGATACTTGGGCCACTCTTTGCTAAATGCGTAGCAATTCGCCAATTCCCAGAACTAAGCAGGTTATGTTTAATCAATGCATTCTGAATTCCTATGGACCAACTACTTACCAAGTACAGGGAAGGTCCAAGGATATTCACCCATATCATATATTCTTTTTGAAGAACGCCCATATCATATATTCTATATCAACGTTTAAGCTGATTAAAAAAAAGGACTCAACATACGCAGCCTATAAGTCTAATAACAATCAACTATGAAACCTACATATAAGAATACATTGCAAAAACCCAAAATATCATAAACTCTGCAAGGATTTTATTTTAGAATGTGCGCACAAACAATAAGGAGATTGTAACAACAAATGAGATGTAAAAGATCTATACAAGGGACCAGAGAGACAATTTGGTACAACTCGTACAAGCACAAGGCTGTACAACCATAAGACTCATTATAGACCAAGTAGGTATGGTTAAAACCTCCAAGCTAGTGATAAAAGTATAGTATACCTGACTGCTAGAGCTTAATAAGCTTATTCAACTTTAAGTCTTTAACCAAGAAGAACAACATGACCTGAATCCCTGAAGCTGATCAAAGCTTTGAGAAAACTGGCTTTCTTTTCTGGAAAAAGGCAGAGGTTGCCTCTTTTAGGTCATCAGATAGAAGCATTGCAGCATTCCACGTAGCTACATAGTCCAACCCTTGGTCTAAACTGAGGTCCTTACTTTTTAGTAACACTGCCTTAGTACCAGTGATAGCTAGAGGAGATCTTGCAGCAATTTCTGTGTAAACATAAAATCTGATATTAGAATTGCACAAGAAGCATTTTATTGGAAACAAGTCCTTTGGCAACTAGACAACTAGAGTGCATTTAATTGAACTTAAATATCAACCAACCTTACCACTTCCTAGTTTCTACCATCGAGAACATCAGAACATAATTCATACTCTGCTCACAAGATCACTAACATTTCCTTGACTCTCTTTCCAAATGCCTTTACCATTCAACATTCTTAAGATAAGCCTAGTAATGACATACAACTACTGAAAATGAGCCTCAAACAAGAAGGTTACACTTTCCCAGTTCTTTTAACACGAAAACAAGAATACATATACTCTCAACTCTCAAAACAATATCTGAAAGCACAACAAGCCATTCAAACAACACCTTTCCAAATTGATTTCCTGAGCAATTAGAGAATTAAATGGAAATTTCACAAAACACTGGACATAATAAGCATCAAAACCCACAAAAAGTGGACTTATGAGTGCCATGTACTGTGCTTAATCCAGTAATTATGCATTGCTTAGTCCCATGTAGAGATTGTTAATTTGGTATAGGCTTATTACTTAACAATGGACCTTTATTCTAAACATCACAAGATTCTTGCTAAACATAACATAAAAAACAAAAATTAAAAAGCAAAGCTCACAAAACCTTACATTAAAGTCAGTCATTCAAACAATTCATTCCAATATATAGCAATAAGAAAATGAGTAAATATGCCACCTTTTTCTTTCCGTAGTAGAAATTTAAAACTTAAAGCAAGAACTAAGAAAAACAAGCCAAAAATCAACATACCCTCAGCAATGCGCGCCACAAAACCATCCAAATCATTTTTAGAACCGAAAACCCGAGTAACCAGACCCATTTCCTTAGCCTCAAAACCCGAAAACCGTCTCGCCGTCAAAGCCAATTCCATTGCATTTCCAAATCCAACAATCCCAGGTAATCTCTGAAGAGTCCCTAAATCAGCAGTAATTGCCAAATCAACCTCCTTAACAGAGAAGAAAGCATCCTCAGTACAATACCTAATATCACAGGCTGTAATAATATCAATTCCACCTCCAATACAAGCTCCATGAATACCGGCAATCACCGGTTTCCGGCATTCTTCCAGTGCAGTAACCGCCGCTTGCAGGTACTTAATCTCTCTCCTAAAACGCTCGTTGGTGCGAGCGCGATCCGCCGATTGGGTGATGGAGGTGAGGGTGTTGATGTCGATGCCGGAGCAGAAGTGATCGCCGGCGCCGGCGAGGATGATTGCATTGACGTTAGGGTTTTGATCGAGGGATTTTAGGGCTTTTGGGAATTCGTCGAAGAAGTCTCTTGATAGGGCGTTTCGATGGGATGGACGATTGAGGTAAAGGTAGAAGACGGAGGAATTTGATTTGATTGGGTTGACTTTAAGGGTTTTGTATTCCGCCATTGCTGATGATTCGAGAGAACACGAAGCTGGGAGTGAGAGAAGGGAGTACAAGGTTAGGCAAACTTTGGTTACTGAGGAAAGCCCCACCTTGATAAACGTGGTAATAGTGTAATACAAAAATTATATAGACAGTTAGTATGACATTTTTGTAATTAATGGTACTTCTACTTCATATATCAACGACCGACCGACCGATTGTAGAGCTCATATTTAAATGAAAAAATGTTTATACAAGTATATTCAAAAACAGTCTTATGAATGAAGGTGATTGATTAACTTGTACTTCCTCTGTTTTTTATACCTGTAACATAACTTTTATTACGTTTTTTGAGAAAGGCGATTAGACTAGGTAAACGAATGAATTAAACTATGAAATTCAAACCGTAGCAACTTAATCCTTTCTTCTTATCGGTGGTAAAATTTTGTGAATTAATTTATCCATTTATCTAATCTAATATATTTCTAAAAATGCGTGCCAAAGAGGTGTGTTGTAAGTAAATAAAAACCAAGGAAGTATATTTTTTCTTAATAATTTAAATTCGGCAAAATTAGTAATTAAATCAATAATCATATGTAAATTTGCTAATGGTGATACTTGATAAGGAAAGAATTACTTGTACGATTATTTTATGACTTATGAGATTTGACTGAGAAGAAGGGGAATTCCCCATGAAAGGTGAGATTTGATCTCTGGTCTCATACTTAAAAGTCTGAAATCTAGCCAACTGCTCAAACAATATGTTTCACACTCTCATGGTTGTACTTTATAGATGATATAAACTTTTGGCTTTGTGATTTAAAGGTTATAGATTAAAGCCCTGTTCATTTCATCTTAATAAAATAATATTCAGCAAAATTAATTTCAGTTCAATTAAAATAAGTTCAGTTCAATAAAAAAAATTCAGTTCAGCAAAAATCAGTAACTTTAAAGAAAAAATATAACGGAGAATCAGTAAAAATAATTTTAATTTTCTTCAAAAAAAAAAATTTAGTTCAGGAAAAATAATTTCAGTTCAATATAAATAATTTAAGTTCAACAAAAATAATTTTAATTCAGTAAAAATAATTTTAATTCAGTAAAAATAATTTTAATTCAGTAAAAATAATTTTAATTGAGCAAAAATAAAGTGAAGTGAACCGAACTTAAATTTCAATAAGGGCTCTTTGTGGATGAAGTTTTTCCTATCCTTCCCCCTCATTTGCAGATAAGTCTGGCCTATAAAGTTGGACTTACTTGATCAACAAGAGATGATGGTTGTAAGGTTCTTCTCCTTATTACCATTAATAAAAAGCGTATATAATAAGTTTTAAATTACATAGGCAGCACAATTTAATTAGTAGTAGATGTTGTGATTTGAATTGTGATTAATTTCACAATAAAGTTTTATTTGCACGCAATACATATGTTATTTGCTCATAGATATAGCAAACTAGCATATCACAAATACGTACAATTATATGTCTGTCAAACAAAAAAAAAAAAAAACCGTACAATTATATGAAGGATAGTTATGTAAACGCAAATATCTTTGGATTTTGGATTTTTTCTAGTCGACTAATGCCTTCCTAGGAGTTAAGGAGGGAATATTATATTGAAAAGAATTTTTGTCAAAAAACTACCTAATAAAACCTAGATATGAGAAACTACCTAATAAAAAAATATTGTAAGAAATTATCTAATAAAAGATAAATGTTGTAAAATACTACCGTTGGTCGGATTTCCACCGTTGACCGGATTTTCTGACGTTGACCCACCCATGTGTCGGTCACATGACGTTTGATGAAGCTTTTTTCCTTTTTTTTTAAAGTTGAACTTTTGGGTGGTTGTTGAGTAAGTGACTAAGCGAGGTTGGTTCATTTTCAAGGTGGTAAGACTATTTTCAAAGTAATTGGGGGATTTTTCGAGTTGGTGGAGGTAGTTTCGGACTACGAAATGGTGGTATTTGGGGTAAGATATGGTGGTTTTGGGTTGGAGGGGAGTTTTGGGGTGGTGGAAGTAGTTTCAAGCGGGTTGCATTGATTTTGGGGATAAAAAGTTCAAATGAGTAAAGTCTAATGGTCAATTTTTTTAATTTTTATTTTAAAATCAAATGGGCATAATTGAACAGGATTTGAGAGTGTAACAAATTGCAAATCATCGAATCAATATCTAATAGTTTCAATTAGTAGAATTCAATTTTAATTACTCCATAGTGAAAATCAACTAAATCGATAAAATTATTTATCAACAGAGCGGAAATTGAGGTGAAAAAAACATGAAATACACTTCAAAATCTGATGCATCATGCATAGATGATGGATCTTTATTTCTTTTTTGGCCTTATCCCAATTTTAATACCAAAGGTGGGACCATTTTGGGATATTATTGTGTTTGTTATTAGTCATTGATAAATTTACGGAGTAGTTATTTAGAATTTTTCTATATACGAAGGAAATGGAATTTGATTATCCCACAACTCTTTCTTAATTAGGATCATAAATTAATATATGAAGAAAATGGATTCGCTAATCCCACAACTCTTTCTTACGATCATTTGATGATATGGTAGCTATATAACAACGTAATTAACCTCATTGATTATGTGATGGTAAAGTCTGTATTCATGTATCATACAAGTATAATTCATACACAAACTTTTAAATAAAACAGATGTTCAGTAAATTACTGAACATTCGTTATAAAGTGACAATAAAATGTGCAAAAGCTATACTAAAACGCACAAAAGTTACCGTGACATATATAAGAGTTATTTATGCTTTATTGATAAATTTGACAAAAGTGACACTAAATTTGACAAAAGTGACACTAAATCTGACAAAAGTGCACCCGATGTACAGTAAATTACTGAAAACCGGGTGTATACAAAAGTTTTCCTTCATACACAAATAATTACCAAAAATAACATGAGAATTGAAGTAATTTAGACAAGAAATCTAAGAATCGTCTCTTAATTCGCAAAAGAAAAGTTTGAAAATAGATGATGATGACAACTTGAAGGCGACTTAGATGAATTTTAGGTTGTACTCAAAAAGAATGTTGAGACTAGAAAGAGATCATGTAAAAAAGTATACCTCACTCAAATGGAACTTTTGCAGTTTACCAAAAACAAACCTTCTGAAAAAAACTTCTTTAACATTTACTCTGTATGATCTTAGTCATAAGCCCAGCTAGATATATATGCATAAACGGAATAAGTTGAGACTAGATCATGTATGGTAGTTTTGTGGACTTTAGGACTTCGGAGTATTTTTAAAAGTTAATCACGGTATTGTACCCCCTTCATTCTACTCTGTTTTCAAATTATTCTCAACGCGGATAGTAAATATAGACTTAAAATATAATAAGAATTAATATTGTATGATATCTATGACAAGTCAGTCAAATGGACTAACGACATCTAGCTAAAATCTATAATGCATTCCTATTTCTACAAGATGACCCCAAATCGTCTTTAAAACCTTAGCTCCTTCAATTTCGAATATACTTTTTGATATTGTGGTTTTTTTTAAAGCATGTGTACATCTGATATATGTGTATATGTGTATGAACATATCAATGTTAATGTAAGTATACGTAGTACTACACAAGTACGTATGTGAATGATATTAGTCCACATTTATTACCTACCTCATCTGTACCTGTCATGCAACTAAGATGAATTTAAATTGCAATTAACTTCAACACACACATAACACACTTCTCTTACCTCATCTCCTTTTCTATTTAGCAACTTAATAATCTTGAGCTCTCATTTTCCATAAACCATAGTTGTTTGTCTATGAAAACTACAAAGAGTTTTATTTCCCTTTGAGAAGCCATAATTACAGCTTTTTAAACATCGTTTACTTCAACAATTATACAAATTAAGGTGATCATCAACTTATTATGGCGCTGCACACCAGTACTTTATCACTCACAATCGTCGGCATTCTAGGTGAATATAAATGCAATCAAGTTTTCTTCATCTTATCAATTTATTATTATTTTTGCATTTTTTTTTTTCTTATGTCAAAGTATTAACTCATGCATGATATAATGATCTCCAAATATGTATCTAGAACACTACTTTCCATCAAGAATTATTGAAATACGTATCATGAGTACATTAACAAAACGATCGACTCTCAAGAATATCTCTATCTGCGTACTAAAGTTATTATTATAAAATAAAAACTCGTGAAATACATGCCCATAAGTTAGCTTGAAAAGATATACTCTTATGTTCCAAAATAATTTTTATTATGACTTGCCAAATATATAATTTTGGTACCTTCATCTCCATCAATCTTCTGCGCATTGTTTTATGGAGTATTTCACCTTTCTATTGGCATTACTACACACTTTAAAAATCTTAAAGTTGAAAAAGATGCTTAAAAGTTCGTAGCATATGTTAGTGAAACTCACCAATATATGAGAAATTTAGAACCATGCAAATTAAGCAATGCTTTACGTAGCAAGCCACTTTTAGCTATATCTCAATTTACCCAAAAAATAGTTAATCCTTAACAATTTTATTAATAATACTTCTATCCTATCTCTATTGTAAGTCATAATACAGAGTAATTATTAACTAATACTTGTATTTCTTAAATAATGTATATTGCTTAATTTTCCCTCGTATTATTAATTATGATTATTATATATATCGATATATTAACAATCAATTAACAATATCCTTTTACTCTTCTGATCATTTTTTCCTCATTCATCCTCAAGGTGGTTACTACATAGGTTGTACATGATTGATGCATGTCTAGGTTTAAAACAAACTTTTTAGTCCTTATATATCTGTATTCTTAGTTTCTTTCTTGTATCTTTTATATGAAAATAACTTTTCATTTTTTTTTATATACCTAGCAAGTTGATAGCTACCAAATGTATGTTATCTGAAGTTTCTTTTGAATATTACCATAATAATCTGCCTTCTAACAAACAAATTATCTTATATACAAGCATAGCTTAGGTCCTTAAATACCACATCCTACATGAAATTTGAAACAATGCTAATCAAATATCCTTTAAAAGTCCCCCTTAATTCTATGTTTCAGGCAACATGATTTCAGGATTAGTATACCTAGCTCTATTGTAAGTTCTCTAACATAAACTTCATGTTGTTACTTGTTACAATATTACTCGCGGTATGCCAGTGTATCATTATGTATAAAACTCATGTTATGATAATTAACTTATGTTGCAGGCCTACATATTACAAAATATATAAGAAAAAATCAACAGAGGGGTTCCAATCTGTGCCTTATGTAGCAGCACTCTTTAGTGCTATGCTTTGGTTATACTATGCACTGCTCAAGAAGAAGGAATATTTCCTCATTAGCATAAATTCTGTTGGATGCATAATTGAGACATTGTACATCGCCTTTTACTATGCTTATGCTTCTAGAAGAGCCAGGGTACGTGTCAAACTTATCCATCTGCCTGATTTTACTTGTTGTCACGTTACTAGTTTAAATCACGCTATCAACTTGACTATTAGTTCCGGATGGAGGGAGTGTTAATGTTGAATGTCGGATTGATTCAATTTAATCCTTTATACTCTGTTGCAGATTTTTACAGGCACACTAGTTCTTTCACTCAATTTGGTGATTTTTTCTATGATAGTTCTCATCATTCAGCTGAAACTGGGGGAAGGTACAGACCGGGTAAAAGTGCTTGGTATCATTTGCGCTGTTGTCTCCATTGGTGTTTTTGCAGCACCCTTGACAATCATGGTAAGAAATCCTCATAATATTCATCATCTCTCTTTTTTTGTTTTTTTTGGTAAAGTGTAGATTGGTGCTCGCGGAGGCCAACTCATACCAAAAACGCGTACACTTTTAATCCTTGTCATACATCTGCGTCTTTCAGGTGAAAGTTATTCGAACAAAGAGTGTTGAGTACATGCCATTCTTCTTATCCTTCTGCCTCACGCTGTGCGCGATCATATGGTTTGCATATGGGTTATTACGACAAGATTTATACATATCTGTAAGTCATTAATAAACACCATGTTTCGAATATCCTCTTTCAACACTACTCAGCACACTCATATAGTTCTTATCATCAAAATCAGATTCCAAATGTTTTTGGATTCGCCTTGGGGGTACTCCAGATGGTATTATATGCAATCTGCAAAAACTGTTGCATCCCCCGGGAATCATCAGTAGATCAGAGGATTTCAAGTAATCCGACAAACTTGGTCAATGGAAACGCGGCAACTATTGATCAGCAAGACAGAAGCAATGAACCTCGAACTGAACTATCAACTGCTGATCCTGCAGTCTGATATCTGTAGGTTCAAACTCATAGTATATACCGCGTTAAAGGAATATGCTCGAGAGTTTTGGCCATGTATTTATTAGGATAATTAGGATCATATGGAGTAAGATCATATGTATCCTACATTTAGTTGCTTCTTTTCCCAACCATTTTTGTTATTGAATGCAACTACCTAATTAACTCACATTATTCTTCTGTTTAGAGCCATTTACTTAAATGAATTATGTGAGAAGTTATTACTACACCAGAACGGTAGTATGAGAAAAATAAAATACTTCTGAAAAAAGTAAGATAGTTGGGAAACAGGTGGGATCATAAGATTTGCTTGATTTAGTAAAAACAGGAACAATACCGTAAAATTTTGGTTACGGTTAAAATCTTGATGACAGACTAATTGCATCTATGATATTTAGGTGCTTGTTTCTCTTAAGTTTCCTTCGATAGATAAAAAGTCAATAATAAACAGCCTTCTTATAAAGTTGCGTACATCTAATCCTCTCAACCCCAACGAGGAAAAAAAAAAACCCTTCCTTTTTGGAGTATTGGGAGAATATTTACACTATAAATCAACCCTTTTCCCCATTTTCGGTTCAAATTATATTTTCCATAGTACTGTTGATTCTTTTCTAACTGGCATATTAGGTTTATATGAAAAATAGGCAAATTCTTAAGCATCAGAAACAAGGGGATGAGAAGTTCATATATAAGACATAGGAAACATCAAACATGGATGAATATGATATAGAGTGCTTCAAGCTGCTGTATTATAAGTTTATAACACTCAACAATGGTATAAGTACCAAATCCATTGAGTATTTCCTAAAAATGCAGAACCAAGAAAGAACCTGCCATCCGCAATTGCGGAAAAGAAACAAGCTCAGCAAAATGACTGCATACTGAAATGTTTTAAAAGGAGCCAAAGCTGCCTTTTTTTCTTTCTTACCGAAGATATACACTCTGATTCTTCTATGCAATATACCCCCGTCGTCATCTGATTTCTCCTCATATCTGCCAATCTTGTCAAGAAAAAGGAAAAAAAGAAAAAAAAAAAAAAGAGGGGGGAAAAGAAACTAATATCAACCATACATGGTGGGCATTTCTGATCCTCCATACAAAGCCTCAACACATTTTGTAAGTTGGTAAGGCAAAAAAAAGATGAAAACACGAGGGCATAAACCGGAATCTAGTTAGCCTGCCCGAAGCATCTCTGCTTTTCTGACACTGTACAAGCTGAAGGGAGAATCACCCTTCTATGTTGTCATTTGTGCCTTGAGCACTTTGCCTTCTTTTCTCCCGCCAATTCTCTCCCCACATCTTGGCCTCGGCAACAGCTCTTTCTCTGTCTGAATCCCGATTCAACATCCTAGCGGTCTCTTTTGGGGAGTCGTCCTTTTCAGACCCACCTTCCAAATCCAAAGTTTGTCGTCTCTTTTCCCGCCAATTTTCACCCCACATTTTGGCCTCAGCAACAGCACGTTCTCTATCTGAATCCTTATTCAACATTCTGACTGTTTCTCTTGGGGAGTCATCTTTCTCTGAGCCTTCTAAGTCCCATTTTCTCCCTGAACTAGCACCATCTTCACCCCTTGCAATTCTTCCACCATTCTCATCTCTGCTCCTATCTTTCATAGTTGGATCATATGCTTGGTTAGCCAGATAAGAGAGTGCTGTTACAACATCTCCAATAAGGGGTCGAGCAGCTGCATTTTCTTGTATGCACATGGATGCAACAGCCAGAGCTTGGTAAAGTCCTCTTGTTGGAAATCTACTTTGTAACTGAGGGTCTGCCAATTTCAAGAACTTTCTGCGGTCATTGAACAAAGGGCGTGCCTGCACAAATAAACAATGCTCAATTGCTTGTCGACAATAAAAGAGCTAAAAATCTAAAATGATACTCTGCAAAAGGGAAGAATTCGCCACAAACCACCTCTAATTTTTCAACTTTTCATTAAACTACTCGTGTTGTTTAAGAGCAAAGCACCTAACAGCCAATTTCCCAAAAATAAAAATAAAAAAATATGGCTGGTTATTTGCAACAAGTGAAGCATATCACTGTTGTATAAACATTGGTGTAATTGAGAGGTGGTTTAAGACAAATTACTCCTACAACCAGAAATCAACTAACAAGAGCTAAATAGCAGCTTCAGTGGGAGCTTTACAGGACCATCATCTTACCCATGCTACAAGGTTCTGCTCTCCATGAGGACGATCACTATCAATGGCTCGGCGACCAGTTATCAGTTCTAAGAAAACTACTCCAAAACTGTAAACATCAGACTTCACCGTCAGTTGTCCTGTCATAGCATATTCAGGGGCACAATAACCATAAGTGCCCATCACCCTAGTAGAAACATGTGACTTGTCACCAGTAGGTCCTAATTTAGCCAGCCCAAAATCAGAGAGCTTTGGATGGAATCCTTCATCTAACAATATGTTAGATGACTTGAAATCTCTGTAAATAACGGGAGGGTTTGCTTTATCATGGAGGTACTCCAAACCTTTGGCTGCTCCAGCAGCGATTTTCATCCTGGTATTCCAGTCAAGCGGTTCTTTATCAGGTGGAAGATCTACAAGGACAAGGTTAAACTGTCGATCAAAATTCTAAAACCAAGAGAGAAAAATTATCTTCCAGTAATATCAGATGGAAAAAAGTGGAGTTTTTCATGGCGATGTGCACACAGCTCATAGGTTCTACAGACATAAACTTAACTGTAGTTAAAATAACTTTGCATATGAACCACTGATTCAGCATTATCATAAAATTTTGAATATAGTTAATACAATAACGCAATAAACTGCCTTGTGTCGTAGAAGAGCTCCTCAGCGATATTGACACATAATTACTGAATCTAGGACACATTACATATTCTTGCATGAACAATATCTAGAAACCTACTCCACTGATAATAGTTTGCATATATAAAGTAGCAACAAAGAACTGAAACACAACATATACTTTATGCACTGCGAGGCTACAGGTATTGTCTAGCTTATGCTACTTTGGCACATCAACGTGACAAGTTTGTTCACTAGTGAGCATAAGACCTCAGGCAGCTAGTTTCACATAGCCAGTGATTCAATATAATTAAGATTTTCTGATCATATTCATCTGTTGGTTGACGCCTTCGGCGTCTAAACATTACATTCTTTTCACAAGCATGGCCTTCTATTCAAATTCCTTGGTTACATCAACAAACAAATTGATCATAGAAAGTGAAGTAATGAACACTATACAAGAACCAATTTGAGCAAGAAGAGGATGACAAACCAGTAAGATTAGAAATTGTTACCAAAGAGATGATCTTCTAGAGATCCCAGCGCCATGTATTCATATACAAGTAATCTCTGGTCACCATCAGCACAATATCCTATCAAATTCACTAAATTGTCATTATGTAAAAGACTGAGCATAAGAACCTCTACAAGAAACTCTCTGTTTCCTTGGAGACCATTTCTGTCCAATTGCTTAACAGCAACAACCTGCAAGCAAAACAAAACTGACTCTAAATAAGGAACAACATGCAGCTAAGGTAAGTTAAATAAACAGTTAAAATGTCAATAAGATTTTTTGAAATATAAGCCCTTGGATTCCATAAAAAATCATATCAAGAAAGAGAGCAATATAGTTATAAATATGTTAGTTTTACATGGTAGTTCCACAACCATAGAATCAGAATCACGGTTCAAAAAACCCCAGCAATGCAGAACATATGAGAAATCAAGACATATCCGGTCTTGTAGCTATGCAATAGAATGTAGCATAATAGATTAATTATTAGATATGAATCATTTTATTCCCTTTCTCCTGCTTCATCAACCCCAAACTCAATCCTATAGAAGAACATATGAGAAATTATGTAATGAGCACCAATAACCAAAAGCAGTACATAAAGAGCGACTCAGACATTGTTTGATAGAATTAGAACAACTTCATAAACTTCTTGCTCTTAGAGAGTTAGAAGTAACCATATATAGAGATTTATCATATAAAAAAAAGGCTCTAAGTTTGTATGATCCACATCTTAGAAATGGTGGATCATGGCAGTAGTTGCAAAATCATATTAAATGATTGTCAAGCATTGTTACCTGACCAGTCTCCAGCTGCCCTTTATAAACACGCCCGAAACCCCCTTCCCCAAGGAAGCATTCATCCCTAAAGTTCTTGGTGGCAACTGCAAGCTCGCGGAAAGTGAATGTATGGGCACTGCTACTAATATTGGCCATAGGTCCATCATTGGGAACAGATGATTCTCGCCTTGGCCCGACATTGTTTCTTGCTTTCAGCCGATCAGCTCCTGCAGATTCACATTATTATTGGCTAATATAAATCATTTGTTATCATGAGAAACACCAGATTGCGAAACTCTTTTCTAGAGATGCAAAATCGAGTAATACACCAACCTATCAAACAAAGATTCGATCTTTCCACCGCGATGGATAGTCTACCATTCAATTGCAACGAGAATTAATTGCTCAGATACTCAAAATTCATCAAGGGACATCTATAATTAGGCATTTGCCTACCTAATGGAACTTACTGAAAATAGTAAAAAGAAGGAATTTTACCAAATTAAGTCATGATACTTATTAAGTGAAACAATCCCAAAAAAACTTTATACACTTTCAACAATCCGCACGGTCCAAGAACATTGATTCAGTATATAAAATTCCAAATCCACTAAAAAGGTACCAATTCTTTTGAAATCTTATTCTTTTTTTTCACAGAAAGTAAAATTCAGCTTAATACTACTACAATCATATCATAAATAATCAATCAAAAAGCCAAAAGTTACCAATCTCAATCATAATCAAAAACAGATTAAAAAAGTTTAATAATTTTAGATCACAACAATTAACAAATTAATACAATAAAAATCAAATAAGATTATAGAACTCACCAGATGATAATTTAGAGATATTAGAATTAGAAGAAGGAGAAGCATCTTTGCGATCATCTTTCTCACCAGAAGTTGGATTCAATCTTTCTTCTTCCTTTGATTCAAAACAAGAAAAACACCCCATTTCCCAGTCAAACTATACACACAAAATTCTTAATTTATTTTTTACAATATAAAAAACTTCTCTTTGATATCTTGATTCAAACAAAACAGTAATCACCCAAAACCCAGTTCCCAAAATCTCTTCTTTAAATCAATAATAATCACTAGAAATCATCATAAATCTTTGACTATATAGCATATAACATATACTTTATAAGAGAGAAAATAAGAAGATTTGAAGAGCAAAAGAAGAGAGAGAAAGGCGTGTGGGTGAGTTGCTTCAACTGAAGAAAACTTTGAGAAAGAAAAGAAAAGAAAATAGGGGAGTGTAAAATAAGGGGGGCGAAGGAAAGAAAGAGAGAGAACGAAAGAAAGGGTGGTTCTATGTAAAAAGTGAGATGAAATGAAGGAGATTTAGATTAGATGAATCAACCCAAAAATTCATTCTTTCCTATCTTACTTAGCACATTTTTTACTCCCACAATTTGATTAATCACATTGACTAAAATAAAATAATCTCTCCTAAACAACTATCTAGGATTCATTCTCTGAAATCTAGTTGGAATATTTTTGTAGGCACTTGTATAATACAGTTGGTAACTTCTTTTAACTTCCTTTCCTATCTAGGTTAGACTTTGTAGAATCGTCTAATTTATATATTGCACGGGCTATTGTATTATAACAGAAGAGAGATTGTGCGATATAACAGTAACAATGTATGAATTTGCTTCAACTAAAGGATAACAACTATAACACCAGTTTTAATGTTGTGTGTATAAGGCAACATTAATTATAGTATGGGTGCTTTCACTGGCGTAACGACATTTAGATGTTTACCCAGCCTTTTCCATCCACTTTTAAACATTCCTCTCTCCTTGATAACTCTATCTCGTCATCAGCAATATACACATAGATTAATCAGGATTCGGCAAAATTAACAGCAATTGTCATTAGACACAACCAACTAACAATTGTTATTACTTCCCTTGACCTACTCATATATGTTGTTACTATGTACGCCTATTTTAACATACATTTTATAAATTTGTATCATATTCGGAGAAATAAAGTATGTATGAATTTAAAAGTGATAGTAGATAAAATTTAACGTAATATGTACTGTAATATGTTACTCTTTAATATTCGGATATTAAATTAATGTATGTACTTTAAAATATCAAATACAATTATTAAATTAGAAATCCTATTTATTTATTTATTTAATTATTTATTTATTTTTTATTTTTTTGTAAATGAGTGACCATGTAACAATATTTCTATTGGCTAATTTATAATTCTTTTAATGAATTTTGTCAGTTAGCAAGCACAAAAAATTCATCCGACTATTCTAGGCAATAACATAATATTAAAACAGACACCGAGAATAACACATGTCACTTCCTGGTGTCGTTTTTTCCCTCCAAAAACCATTTTCCAAAAATAAATATATTCTAACTTTATTTTTCTTTTTATATCTTATTGATTGACAACTTATTTAAGTCAATAAAATTATACTCCATATATATTTAATTTATATATTATAATTGAAATTAAAGATTCTTATTACTAGTATCAATATTATTTGCGGGTTTTTTTTTCCTGATATATTACAATCACATGGATTTAATTTATAGTACGAAATAAATTTAAAAAAAACGTTATATTGCATCAAATTGACTTTAACACATAAATCTATAACTATAACTATATATATTATAATAAATAATTAAAAAAAACGTTATATTGCATCAAATTGACTTTAACACATAAATCAGGAATGACATATGTCATCTCCTTTTTAAATAATTTTGTGCAATTTTTATTTATTTTTTTTTTTTTTTTGCCAAAGCTTCTTAGAGAATATTTAATACTATACAATAATATTTCCCTTACTATTTAGTAATTATATTCCATTATAAACATCCAACAAAATATTATTTGTTTATTTAATACTATGCAATAATATTTTCCTACATATAACTTTGTGAAGTTCCATAATTTTTTTTATTATTCGTGCATGTAATACTCCCACTAACTTCTTTAGTATGGTATAATTTTTATTTTTTATTTATTTTTGTAATTACGAATTTTTATCTTATTTTGCAATTTAATAATTATTATAAATAAATATAGTGTTAAATTAATACTCTGTAATAAATAGTGAAAATTATCGTGCATGACACGAGACCTAATCCAGTAAAATCAATAAATATGAGACCAAATGTTATTCCTTACTATATAGTGGTTGAAAGTTGAGCTTAAAACCTAGAGAAAAAATCATAATATACCTTGGTAAAGATATTAAAACATCAACCTAATATTGGGTAGAGTGAGAACTCTCCAAGTGAAATATTGACCGCATAATCTATATCAAAATTCAATTTTGATTGTCGGCGATGATACGAATTAAGTAATAACTACATACTTCCTTCGTTTCTGAAAGTTCGACTCACTTTGCATTTGCGCGGTCTCCAATGAAAATCTTTGACCATGAATATCTTCGGCTATGTATAAGTGAAAATTATAAAAGATATTTGAAAATTTTATAATAAGGGGAATCTAATAAGACCCCTCACACTAATTTATTTCTATAGTATAAATCATAATATGTAGTCAAAGTTATATTATTTTGACCAGATGAATAGTAAGTGAGTCGAATTTTCAGAAATGGAGGTAGTATTAGTTATATCTATGGGATATATGATAGCTAATTGCAAGTTGCAACATTTAAACATTTTACATAGGAGATATATCCATAAAATTTGTTATATACACCCGGGGTCATTTGCTCATTTAATCAAAAAATGAGCAAATAATATTTTTACTTATTTATTAACTGAATGAGCAAATGACTCCGAGTGTACGGTACACCCGGGTGTACATAATAGACTCTCATATTTCCATTACCTTTTATGTGTTATATGATCGAATAACAACCTTTATATATTTTTTTTAAAAAAATAAATTCCTTAACTTTTTTATAAATTAAATTATACTCGTATATTTTATTATCCGACTCAGCAACATAACTCATTAATTACCATCGTATTTTAGTGCAAGTTATTTGAATCAACCTCAAAAACCCAAATTTATAAACCCAAATATATATACAATGTGAATTGTTGAATTCTTCTAAGCTCGTCCAATAATTATTATTCTATGGTCCATTTTTTGCCTTCCTTTCTTTGGTATTCTCCCATCATGAAAAAAGTTTGGAAAACTCAGCTCATAAAGAGTTAGATGTAATTGGGTTTAAATATAAATATATCCAATCATTGAATTTCATTTATCATCATATTCATAATTCATTATTGACACATAAAAGTTGATATACATATTTTGGAGAATGGAAGAAACCACCCACTCTTATGGATCATTTGATGAATTCACATGCTAAAGTAAAGGGGTATACGTAGTAGATAAAAGGATAAGTTTTTACATTATTTCACCAAAATTGTTTTTGATAATTAAATGAAATTTGTTTTTTATTTTAATTCTTTCCCTATGACATCATATTGACATGTTTGTACGTCCTTACTCTCCTCCCATCCATGGAGGTGGGATGTAAGCATGTACTCCGCAACTCAGTAACTATGCAAAATCCATCTTTGAGATTCTCAAGGGTATTTTGGGGATTCTCTTGTCTGCTGTAAGAGTTAGGAATTAGGATATCATTTTATGGGTATTTTGGGCATTTTAAACAAGGTATTAAACATGCTCAATTTGTGCCAATGCACATGGCACTTGAATACTAATTTTGTTCGCTAATAAAATAAATAATACGTAAGTTTTTGCATTTTAAAAAAATTAATTCTATAAAAGTATTCTCAATTTCGAGTGCCTAGGGTCCTAATTTTACCCTCAAAATATTACAATTATTATTATTAATTTTTAGACTTTATTTCCCCGCTCTTTTTTAATTTTTCATTTCTCTTTTAGACATTTTCTTAATAAATAGCTTTATTTTAATTTTGTTTAACAGAGAAATTCTCTTTTATACTCTGTATTATTATACTCCCTTATCAGTTAGCTAAATATGGAGTACTATTTAATCACAAATAATCATTATTATATGTGGCCACTTTACTTATAAGCAATTAATTGAGTAGTAATAAGGGTTACAATGGTAATCAAATACGGTTAAATGAAAGCATGAGGGTTTAGCCGCCTTAGCGCAATGGGAAAATAGGGTTACCATTATAAAGGAAGGACAAGTATTTTTCTAATAGTAAATAATTAAACAAAAAAAAGGGGCTGGTTTCAAAAAAAAAAAAAAAGAAAAAAAAAAAAAAAGGGTTACTCAAATGAATAAATAAGGTTACTTTTTTTTTCTTTAATAATAAATGGATTTATGAATATTTTGAAATAATTTATATTATTAAATAAGAGTTACTCTTTTAAACAAATGTGGCCACATTATGTAGCTGGCCTGCCTGGCCACACCCACAAAACTTACTGCTATTTAATTACATTCAAGTTTCTCTCCTTTCCTTAGTTTATGTTGTAATATATATACTTCCTTTGTTCCGAAATACTTACAACAATTTGATTTTGACACTATTTGTATACGAAGTATTAACAATGAATATATTTTTTTTATTAACATATAAAAATCAAATATTATTATGTTATATGTTGTTGGATTGTTGCTTATACATTAACAGTTTGGCACATGTGGCAGTGAAACTGTTGCAACTTGCAAGTTCGGGAATGAAGTATACTAGCATAAATAAAAGACCAAGTTAATGTTCGGTTTTCCTTTCTACTCCGTAGTAGTTTCTACATCCACCTTTCTGAAGATGGGTTATTAATATTATTCATATTCCCCACTATAGGTCTATAGTGCGTCAATCAACCAATGACAATATAATTTAATAAATGTTTGGAGCAAACAATACGATAGGTTGTTTTGCACTAATCTCAATTCCAAGCTCCTAAATGGGAACGAGACGATATTTGATTATGAGAAACATAATTACGCGGTGGTTGACTTCCCACATGATAGTACGATACGCTGCTTGTTTCACGGATATTACCTAAAAGCCATACCCTTTTGTAATTAAGAAAATCATATTAGGGAGACCACCTTAATTAAAGTCTTGTACATAAAATTCTACAAAATTATCTAATGTTGGCGTTGAATGTAGTCTTCAATACGAAGTGTAATGTGGGATACTGGGATATATACAATATTGTACCCATGTATGCAGGAAGAAGAAAAGGAATATACTCAGTTTATAAATGACAAAAGTTAACGAATGACCGAAATGACATACCACGTGATTAGGGGATTTTTATCCACCAAGCGCCGTTTGACAAGTGGACCAACCAGGTTCCGCCACGCGTCCTCCACGGACCACTTAAGACACGCCACGTGTCCACCCATGCCAAATGGGACAACCGGCCATCAAGGCCCATTTCAGTCTAGAAGCCCGATCGGCCCTAGGTTTACCTTAAACCTAGAGAGTTGCAC